TAAACAGTAGATGTAGAGAACTCATGGCGTTCTTTAAATTATATAATCTACGTGTATATTTGTATTATCAGTATTTGTTTCTTATTATTGTTATGTGGAAGATTGAACAGATAAACAACATGTCGAGGTCTTAGAAATGCAATCCTTGTGTCCTTGGATACAAGAGAAATGTATTTGTGTAAAACATGTACAACAGTGTGATTATCTTTTCAGCCAGCAGATGGCAGTAATTCTCCATTCTCTGTGTGCAGTTTGGTAACAATAGATATATTATAGGGTGAGATCCTCGTGGCCTGCACAGATCGAATGTAAATGTAAGAGGTACAAGATTTAGTGAATGGTTTATCCTAAATGATGCGTACAGTTTCAGGAGGAACGTTGTAGGGCACGGTGCAGGAAATTTTCTCACCCAGCATTGACATCATTTTAAGGAATATTTTACTGCAGCAGAAGTTCTCTAAAAGTTAGAAAACTCTCACCTAAAATTTAAAGAGACTCTCTAAGCAGTATCAGCACTGCAGCTCATTGTGTTATTACAGCTCATTGTATGATTACAGCTTATTGTATTATTATAGCTCATTGTATGATAACAGCTCAGTGTAATATTACAGCTCATTGTATGATTACAGCTCATTATATTATTACAGCTTATTTTATTGAACAGGTGAAATTACAAACAAATTCATAGATTGAAAGATATTTCGAGTTTGGTTTCTTGTACACACTGTTCACTAATATATGTATCTTGCTGCACCAGCAGAGTGTTTGTTTATAAGCAAAGCATTATGACATTTAGCAGTACTCTGAATCTTGAATTTCTTTTTATTTAGTGAAACTGGATTACAGACACGAGGGGTGTTGCTAGGAGGGAATGAAGGTGGGGGCTCTATAACCCCAAATCTTTTAGCTGATCCCCAAAATCTTCTGTTTCTCATTCTCCTGGCCTCCTTGCCGAGTCCATGCCGGGAGTGTAGCAGTGCAGGTAAGAAAAGGCTGCTGAATATCACACTCTAAATATGTTCCTGTGTCTCTATTACTGAGCTAATTCTGCTCCTGGTCGGAACTCAACCATAAGGAACGTGAAAAGAAAAAATATATATAGTGTGCTTCCCTCTATGTGTTTTCTCTATGTCTGTGTAGCCTGTATGTGTCTATCGATGTATGCCTGTGTGTGTTATCTGTATGTCTGTCCCTTTGCCAATGTAACGAGTCTGTTTGTGGATGTTTGTGTCTTTGTGTGGCTGTGCAGCCTGTGTCTGTGTCCGTGACCTATATGCCTGTGTTTTGTTGTCCCTGTCTATGCATTTATGTCTGTATATGCCTGTGTTTGTGTGTGTACCGTGTGTACCAGTGTCTGAGTGTGCGCCTGTATTTATGTGTGCATCTGTGAACGTGTGCATGTCTGTAAGTGTCAAAGTGTGAGTATGTGCTTTTATGCATGTACTCAAAATACATATATTGCAGAACAGGTGGGAACAGGTGTAATTTGAGAGGAACTAGTTGGGGACTTTGTGTAGACACGTTTGTCATTGACCCTTATAATGCCCCTGTATATTATTGTATTGGAAGGTGTTAATACAGAGGTACACACAATTCTTGAGGGTGGTAATACAGGGGTACACCGCTTCAGGCCCTCGGGAGTCAGCATAGCTAAACGGACAAGGGCACATGTAACGAGTGTGGGGACGGTGCTAGTGATCGGCTATATGTGTATAGGGGAGTGGCTGTATGTGTTTAGGGGAGTGGCTATATGTGTTTAGGGGTGTGGCTGTGTTTAGGGGAGTGGCTGTATGTATTTAGGGGAGTGGCTGTATGTGTTTAGGGGCGTGGCTGTATGTGTATAGGGGAGTGACTGTATGTGTTTAGGGGAGTGGCTGTATGTGTATAGGGGCGTGGCTGTATGTGTATAGGGGCGTGGCTGTATGTATTTAGGGGAGTGGCTGTATGTGTTTAGGGGCGTGGTTGTATGTATTTAGGGGAGTGGCTGTATGTGTATAGGGGAGTGGCTATATGTGTTTAGGGGCGTGATTGTATGTGTTTAGGGGAGTGGCTGTATGTGTTTAGGGGCGTGGCTGTATGTGTATAGGGGCGTGGCTGTATGTGTATAGGGGCGTGGCTGTATGTGTTTAGAGGAGTGGCTGTATGTGTATAGGGGAGTGGCTGTATGTGTATAGGGGCGTGGCTGTATGTGTATTTCGGTGTGGCTGTATGTGTATAGGGGCGTGGCTGTGTTTAGGGTAGTGGCTGTATGTGTTTAGGGGCGTGGCTATATGTGTATATGGGCGTGGCTGTGTTTAGGGGAGTGGTTATGGGTTTGTAGTGGGGCAGGGATCATCTTACCTCAGTGCCTTTTGGGATTCTGGCCAGCAAACACCTCCCCTGCCCCCTCCCTCCTGTTTGTCCTGGGCCTGCATGCTTTTCCTGCTTGAGGGATGGCTGCTACCCTCAGAGCTGCTGCTGCCCTGGATGGCGGTAGGCACCTTCAGGAGCAATGTGCTCCCTTCCAGCCTGGCCTGCCCTCTGCTGAGGCTCCCGCCCGCCTGCTTGCTTGACCCCTGATCCCTCACCTCAGGCCCGGTATAGGAGCCGGAGCCCGGGCCCAAGGCACCACCAGGCCCGCGTATCAGCTCCATCTGACACGGAGCCTGCTACTACTGCCGCCTCCCACGCACCCAGTCGGCCAGGGGTGCCAGAAGACCTGCTGAGCATACTGGGGGGTCTGGGAGGCATTTCCAGCCCCCACGTGGTCGGCGCACTGGCGAATCCAGAGCCGGGCCAGTGGTGGTGAGTGGGCCCCTCAGGGCCACGTGGGGCACGGCTGTGCTGCCGTTGGGGGGTGGAGGGGGGTCCTCCCTGGGCTCTGATGGCTCCTCTCCTCCCCCGGGTTCTGTCCGCAATTCCCCCCTGTTAAGACACCTCCAGTGTCTTTAAGCCAAACCGCCGTTTAGTATACCTTCCCGGCTGCAGTACAGTCTCTGTTCGCTTAATCTGTAACACACGAACCAAATGCAGGGGAAGCGGCAATCTCCCGACCGAGCTCCGTGAACGGCTCCAAACTCCCGAACGGCAATACACGAACTGCTGGTAACCGTCGAACAGCAATATTCCCCAAGCGGCTTTCGTTCCATCCAGCAGTCTCTAAACGTGAAGAAGAAATCCCCCCCAATAACGAGACAGAAGCTCCGCATTGAGGGTCAAACAGAATCTGGTTTTACTGTGGGCTACCTGCCCGTATTTATGCAGGTCTCCCACTTGGTGGACACTCCCCTAGGGGACCAAATGGGAGACTTAAACTACAGACAGATAGAGGGACATTTTAGACACACAGTCACATATTTTACCCACAGTGCATTATGATTCCCTCCCCTCTGCCCTGGAGTTAATTACCAAGTAACTCAATTAACTCCAGGACAAAGCCAGTCGCCATCTTAGACATAAAATAATAAAAGACATAAAAATATATAACTACATGAAAACCGAACATTTCCCATTCGTATTACATGTCCCCAGATAGCCTGGATCTGAGGGCATATTATTAGCGAATAGCGCTCAGATCCCACACACATAGTTCAATCGCCATGGAGTCAAAGTTCTTACAGTCTTTCGGTATACGAATGACTCCATGGGAAGGCTATCTGGGTTAAGTCTTTTCGTATGCTCTCAATCTCCCGAACGGCCGGTGTTCGCATGCTTTCGTGGAGGCAGCCAGGCGTTCCCTTGTTTCAGCGGTGTTCGGCAGAAAAAGTGTCCATTTTCAATTCCATAGAATTAGAGCCAAACACCGCTGGGCGTTCGTGTGATTTAAAATGGCCGCTGCCTCGTGGTCGACATACGAACGACGACCACCCTGAATTCGGTTTAATTGAGAAGTGTCTGCGGTTAACCACAACGTTCTAATTGGGATCATTTCGTTAACCAGCAGCACACTCCTCACTTGGGTGGCCGTTCGTTCGGCAGGTTTGTTCGGGAAAAAGAGTCATTCGAATGGCTGGGCTATAGAAACCAGCCATTCATACGAACGGGGGACAAACAGACGAACGTGGTAAAAATCCAAGCAGACAGATGGTTCTGTCACACCCCCTCCCCCCCATGGTGCCTTCCCTTGTCCCCTCTCCCTCTGTGTTCCCCTCCTCCTCCCCTATGATGTCATCCCTTTCCTCTCCCTCTGGAGTCCCCTTTCCCTCTGTGCTTGCCTCCTCCTCCCCTGTTTCTGCTGGGCTGGGTGTCCGTCATCTATCTGCTCCCCCTCCTGGCTCTCTCTCTGTCACCCTTCCTCCTCCCCCCTCCCTCCTGTCCCTTCTGTCCCCCCTGCTCCCCAGGTTCTCACCTCGGCTGCCCTCCCCTGCGGGGTGTGAGCTTACCTCCTCTCCGCTGCTCTTCTCATAGGATCTGGCTGCTGTGGCTGCAGTTCCTGGGACCATCCAGCAGATGGCGCCTGGTACTGCTGCAAGGCTGAGCAGTGCTGAAAATGGCGTTAACTCTGTCTGGATCATCTTCATAACCTTTGCCGCAGGAGGTTCCTCGGGCGTCGGCAGGTGAGTTTTCTAATTTTTATTCTATTTGATCTGGGGGTCCCTCGCTGGGGGGGTTTCGGTCAGGGCTTAGGGTTTTTCTTGATCAGTGGGAGCAGGGTGCGCAAGCAGGTAGGGTCCCCCTATTATATGGTCAGCTTCGGTCAGTGTGGTCCTCAGCGCTGCAGCCACAGGGGGTTCTGGCGGTTCCTGGGGTCCCCCATTCCCGGGGTGGGTGGCCAAGCTGGCACCCCTGCTATGGCATCGGGTGCCTCGGTGCCGGCTGTTGCTGGGGGGGTCCCTGGCATCGGGTGACCCCCCGGGTGTTGCAGACATTGCGCGTGGGTCCACCTATATGTGTTGGTCAGGGCCCTTGGGCGTGCACTTGAAACAGGAGGTTCGGGAAAAAATTGAGGGGTGAATTTGGTAAGATTTTTTCCCTCCTCCCTATGGAGGAGGCTCCTCCTTTACTGGAAAAGGACAGGAAGGAATCCAACAAAGACAAGGAGAAGTACCGGTACCGAAAGATCCCTAAGACTTTCGGGAATTGGATTCGCGCATTTGCGATCCTGGCCAGTGTGATTGGGGAAAGGGCTCCGCAGAAGTGCTCCGCAATGTTCTGCTACCAGGATACCATTTGGAACGCTTGTCGTACCTATGGCTGTCTGGGGTGGTGGAAATATGACGAGCAATTCCGTCAACGGTTAGCGGTGCGCCCCTCCATTTCGTGGGACCATAGAAACATAGAAACATAGAATGTGACGGCAGATAAGAACCATTCGGCCCATCTAGTCTGCCCAATTTTCTAAATACTTTCATTAGTCCCTAGCCTTATCTTATAGTTAGGATAGCCTTATGCCTATGCCACGCATGCTTAAACTCCTTTACTGTGTTAACCTCTACCACTTCAGCTGGAAGGCTATTCCATGCATCCACTACCCTCTCAGTAAAGTAATACTTCCTGATATTATTTTTAAACCTTTGTCCCTCTAATTTAAGAATATGTCCTCTTGTTGTGGTAGTTTTTCTTCTTTTAAATATAGTCTCCTCCTTTACTGTGTTGATTCCCTTTATATATTTAAATGTTTCTATCATATCCCCCTGTCTCGTCTTTCCTCCAAGCTATACATGTTAAGATCCTTTAACCTTTCCTGGTAAGTTTTATCCTGCAATCCATGAACCAGTTTAGTAGCCCTTCTCTGAACTCTCTCTAAAGTATCAATATCCTTCTGAAGATACGGTCTCCAGTACTGTGTACAATACTCCAAGTGAGGTCTCACCAGTGTTCTGTACAATGGCATGAGCACTTCCCTCTTTCTACTGCTAATACCTCTCCCTATACAACCAAGCATTCTGCTAGCATTTCCTGCTGCTCTATTACATTGTCTGCCTACTTTTAAGTCATCAGAAATAATCACCCCTAAATCCCTTTCCTCATATGTTGAGGTTAGAACTCTATCAAATATTCTGTACTCTGCCCTTGGGTTTTTACGTCCAAGATGCATTATCTTGCACTTATCCACATTAAATGTCAGATGGACATTTGCCTCTGACTCTCCATTATGACCCGCCCAGCCCCCCAGATGGACCAGATGGACATTTGCCTCTGACTCTCCATTATGACCCGCCCAGCCCCCCCAGCAGTGTGGGTTCTCGTCTGTTCTCCAGGGGGGCGGCAGTGGGGGTGGTCCTCCTCCTCACCGGCCACACATCAGAGGCCAGGCTGTTGTGGGAAATTCAACGCCAGTCACTGCAAATGGGGGACATCTTGCCGGTTCAAGCATGAATGTTCCACCTGCGGGGGAGCCCATCCTGTCTCCCACTGCTTCAAGCGGGGCAAAGTTGGCGAGAAAGGGGATTTGTGGTCAAAGGGCGATGACGCCGGTGGTCATAAGCGCGATGCGTCCTTGACTTGTCAGTTATAGGAATCGTCGGGCTGCCGAAATCCTGCTGGATGGGTTTGAGCATGGGTTTTGGATTCCTTTCACTTGTCGTCCCACTTCCCCTCTGGTTCAGAACCTTCGGTCTGTCTGGGAATTCCCATGGGTGGTTTGGGAAAAACTGAGTAAGGAGGAGTCGTTGGGTCAGATGGCTGGTCCCTTTAGGGACCCCCTGCTTCCGGAATTGCCGGTCTCCCCCCTGGGTGTGGTGCCCAAAAAGTAGCAAGGGAAATACCGTCTGATTCACCATTTATTGTACCCCGGGGGGGTTCAGTGAATGATGACATCTGTGGCGGAACCAGCCTCGCCACTGGGCATTGGGGAAGACTGATTGCCAGCCTCCTGCCATGTGACTATGGCCCCTGGGATGTGTGGCAAAACTAGCCACTGGAGACTATCGATGTATGAGTCTGATTGTATTTTTTCTAAGAGACAAGTGTAGAGACAAGTGTATGATTGTATTTATTGTAGTAGCTGTAGAGACAAGTGTATGATTGTATTGCATTCCAGACGAATGAGGGCATTCGTATGCTGGCGGCATGAAAACCCCAGCATTCATACTGTAGTTTCACGAACAGTGAGTTTCAACACTGTTCGTGAAACGAATAACCTACCGAATGGACAACCACACACAGGAGGTCGTGTGGCGCCCATTAACCGATTGCAACATTGTTGCAATCGGTAGTTAAGTGTGTTCCTAGGTGGGCGTCGTTCGACTACCGACCATGCAGCGGTCGGCCATCTTGGTTCCTCTGTTAACCTAGCAGGGTTTGGTCGTCGAGCGCCTGGAACCGAAATCGGCTACTCAACGGCGCGAACCCCGCTGGACTTCCAGGCCGTTCGGGAGCCCCGGCCGTTCGGTAGGTTGTTCCCCTGATGTCAATCGGTACTTTGAGTAGAACTTGAATTTAATGTGTGTTTCGTGCGGCATTCTGTTGGTTAGGCTGGGATCTGAGCGGTATTCTCACGAACTGTGCGCTCAGACCCCAGCTATCTACCGAACGTCCATTCGTTTAAATGAAGGGAATATTATGGGAATTATGTATTTTAATGTGAAATGTAAAATGTAATGCTGCACGGAGGGATAATCCACTTAGTTGTATATTCTAGTGGGAGTATCCCTCTTGTGCAGCAGTGCATGGTGGGAAAAATGTATGTATTGTTCAGTTCCCCATGTAGTCCTCTACTGTGCCACCCCTGGAATGTCAGTAGGGAAACCCCTTCCATGGGGAATCCCATAAATATTGTGCCTGTAATTAAAAACCTCAGTTGACCTCCAAGCTATGTGTCGTCTAGTTCTTGGGAGGAAGGGATTGTAACTACGCTACCGGGAATTTACCTGCTTTGTACCTGCTTGATTCTGTCTACCAGCGGAGATACCGTGGATAATACTACTACTCCGCTACAGGATGTATTGCCTGCTCTCCTGTACTGCTGAGGTTTGATACCAACTAGGTGGATTTGGCTACTGCTAATTCTGCAGGCACGTGAGATATTTTCTGTTAATTATTGTCTCCCCCACCTCTTTAAAAATATGCCATTGTGTTATAATAAGTCACTGTATGTTGCCTGCTATGATTTGACTGTTTGTAATTTTATTGAGTTTTCACAGCAATGTTAATGTAATGACCATATGGGCCAGTCCCAATGAAAATAAAATTTTTGATAGTTTTTCTTCACCCTCAATCTAGAATCCTGTCTCTTATTGGGGGAATTGCTATATCACTGCATGCTCCCTTGGATAATCACTTCTAAGCTCTTTTAAGAGCCTGTTCCTGTCTTGTTTTGTAAAGGAGTCTATGGTGGTTATGGTGTCGGCTGGAGTGCTTGGAGCCCTCAGGAAGCGCTAGGAGCATCCTTCAACGGAGGTACTCAGTCGGGGTGCCAGGTGATCCATTACATTGGTGCCAACAACATCTCTTTGGAACTCTGCTGAGTGTCTTATGCGTCCTTTGATGCAGCGGTCGCTATGTTCAGGGCCGCGGGCCCTGGGGCCTTGTTGGCCAAGGCTGATGTGGAATCGACCTTCCGTCTGCTGCAGGTGCACCCGGAATGTCACCATCTTCTGGGCTGTGTTTTCGAATTACCTGGATATGTGCCTCCCTGTGGGTTGTTCCATATCCTGCTTTTACTTTGAATGCTTCAGCACATTCTTGGACTGGGTGGTGAGGAAGGAGGCTGGGATAGACTCCTTGCTATTTCCCAATTCGCCAGCCTGTGCAATGCTGCTGCGGGTTCTGAGTGAGGTGTTCCAGCGGTTTGGGGTACCGTTGGTTCACGACAAGATGGTGGGCTCGGTCACTTGTCTCAGTTTTCTGGATATGTGCTTCCCTGTGGGTTGTTCCATATCCTGCTTTTACTTTGAATGCTTCAGCACATTCTTGGACTGGGTGGTGAGGAAGGAGGCTGGGATAGACTCCTTGCTATCTCCCAATTCGTCAGCCTGTGCAATGCTGCTGCGGGTTCTGAGTGAGGTGTTCCAGCGGTTTGGGGTACCGTTGGTTCACGACAAGATGGTGGGCTCGGTCACTTGTCTCAGTTTTCTGGGCATTGAGATAGACTCTCTGGCAGGGGAATGCCGCTTGCCTTTGGATAAGATTCAAGACTTGCGGCGTGAGGTGGCCGTGGCCATGGGGCGGTGCAAGATTCAGCTGCTCCTGGGGAAGCTGAATTTTGCCTGTTGGATCATGCCCGTGGGGCGGGTGTTTAAGCCTGGGTCTGGCTGCGGCGATGGGCGGGGTCTCCGAGTCTCGCCATTTAATTCAGCTTACTCGGTCGCTGCGGAATGATTTGGCGGTTCGGGACTCCTTCTTGGCTGCATACAATGGCCGGTCCTACTGGCAAAAGCCGGAGGTTTCTAACGCCGACCTCCACCTATTTACAGACGCGGCTGGCTCGGTGGGGTTTGGGGCCATTCTGGGCTCTAGTTGGTGTGTGGCCGTGTGGCCGGACAGTTGACATGTCTCTGGGCTCACGAAGAATCTGGCCTTTCTGGAGCTTTTCCCCATTTTGGTGACGGTGGAGGTCTGGGGGTCACGTTTGCAGGATCAAAGTTTCATTCAAAGTGACAATTTGGGAGTTGTTCAGGCCATTAATTGCCTGACAGCCTCCTCCCCTCCAGTGGTTCGCTTGCTTAGGTGGTTGGTTTTCCGATGTTTGTGTCTCAATGTGTATTGTAGGGCAGAGCATATACCGGGAGTTCACAATGTGATGGCGGATGCTCTCTCTCGTTCACAGTGGTCGGATTTTCGGGCTGTCGCCCCGCAGGCGGAACTGGAGGGGACGCCTTGCCCGGCGGACATCTGGTTGTTTGGTCAGGCAGAGTGATGGAATGGGTCCGTGGATCGGTTTCCAAGGCCACCTGGAATCGCTACAGTAAGGTGTGGGGTGAATGGGAGCAATGGGAGTTGGATTTGGGTGGTTTATGTTCCCCAAACGAGCGTCTCGGGGGGCTACTGCAGCACTTGGACCGCTGGGAATCCGAGGGTAAGTCTCCCTCTGAAATCTCCGCGCGTTTCTCTGGTCTTAGCTTCCTATTTAAGCTGCGCGGGTGGGAAGATTCGACTAAAGCATTTGTTGTGTGTCAGGCACTTAAGGGACTGCAACGCCGATCTGCGTCGGTTGACGCACGGAGGCCAATTTCTGCAGTGCTTTTGTCAAGACTCCGTGGGGTGCTCCCGCAGATCTGTTACTCGGTGTTTGAGGCCCGGCTGTTTAAGTTGGCTTATTCGCTGGCATTCTTTGGGGCCATGAGCATTGGGGAACTGGTGAGCCCTAGTAAGCGCAGCTGTGGGGGGTGTTGTTTGCCGACGTTCAGTGCGAGCCGGGGCGGATTTCGTTTCTGATACGACGGTCAAGAACGGATGTCCTTGGAAGGGGTAAATGGGTGCGGTTGGGTGCTGTCCCTGGTTCAGATATTTGCCTGGTTGCTTCCTTTTGGGAATTCTGCGGGCTGCGCCCGGTTTCCTCAGGCCCACTTTTGGTTCATGAGGATGGGAGTTTTCTGTCCCATTTTCAATTTATTCGAGTTTTTCGTTC